TTTCCAATTCTTCGTTAATAAGAATTTATTACTCCCAAACCCGGCCTATAGTTGTTCCATGGCGTTTGCGCATGCACTCGTAAAAATGAAGTTTACATACTTTTATACACAACTGATAACTAAAGTTTCATGTAGAAAAGCATAAAATGCTAAGATTACACATAACTAAATGTCTAAATACACGTAACATTGTATATTTATCGTATTAGTGCATTGTTACTTGAATTAAAAGTAGTATTGCATTATAATTCTCTTTGACTTAAGGTGATGTGAAAGTGGCGTCGAAGAGGTTTTGTTTATAAAACTTTTTTCCTAACTCGGTTTACCGAATAGTTCGAAACTTTACAACGTGAATAGGAAAACTATAAGGAAGGTCCTGAAACTCTTGAAATTTCAATTCTTTTCTAATTTGTTTATAGGTGTTTTAAAAACAGTTTATAAAAAATGAAATTTTGCGAGTTTTAAGACCTACCTTAGGGTCTCCATATTCACGTTTTAAAGTATGAAACGATTTGAGGCACCCAGTTCGTGGAAAAGTTTTATGAACTATTGAGCTTTTAGGTGCCACTTCCACATTCCCTTAACTTACCATACCTAATGTGATAGCACAGAGACAATGGAATTTTGCTGCAATTTATTGTGATATCGGAATAGTCAATTAGTATGTAAATTTACATCGGCACTTTTATCGGTGTGCGTTGTGTGCGTGTATGTATTTAGCGCGAAACTGTATCGAGTTTCTGGATCACTTTACCTTCCAAACTTGGAACGGCCCGACGTTTGATCGAGTGTCGGTTCCATCGGTCTAGGGACGAGTTCTCGGCCACATCATGAATTTCCTCATTTGTCTCGGATGCATCAGAGGACGACCCATCATCGCCCTCGTACCCAGCATCATCATCCTCAAGAGCTGACCCAGCGGCGTCGACTGACCTCGGAAAGTGCATTCGTCCGATCTAGAGCGTCGCAATTACCTCAAATTGTGTTTCGCTCGGAAAAGTGAGGAAACTAAGTCACGGCTTAAAAATTGAAGAGTAAAAAATTCTAAAGAACCACGACGCAAATATTGAATTCTTCTCATTAGTCCGCGGACAAATCTGGACGGTGGAAAGTGCATTGGTTTGATCCAGAGCGTTGCAGTTACTTCAAATTATGTATCATGAAATGCATTTTCTGCGACGAGACAAAGAACGTATTAATTAATAATGTACCAGTCTTATCTAAGCATGTAGTTATCGCGAAAAGGACTGTTAAAGATTTTAAGTGAAACTTCTGAATTTAAAATAATCATTAGATGTCATCAATTATTCTCAATCATTTTTTATCGACGCAAATATTGATTTCTTCCCATTAGTCCGTGGACAAATCTGGACGGTGGAAAATGCATTGGTTTGATCCAGAGCATTCAAGTTACTTTAAATTATGTTTCATGAAATGCATTTTCTGCGACGAGACAAAGCACGTATTAATTAATAATGTACCGTCCTACTCTGTTAGCTATTTCTTGTCACCTTCCCGGCAGTCTTATATAAGCATGTAGTTATCTCGAAAAGGATTGACTGTTAAAGATTTTAAGTGAAACTTCTGAATTTAAAAGAATCATTAGATGTCATCAGTTATTCTCGATCATCTTTTCACGACATGCCCCTACTTCTATGTTATCATCAAAGAAGAATATACATACTAATTTACAGTAAAAAGAATCGTTTCACTTTTCTAATCGAGTCCCTTTAAGAACGCGGATGCTTGTACCTACTTTCGCGTTCCTAACAAGCTTCACTTGCAAATTTATTCGCGAGTTTATGCAACAACCCAATAATCACCGGGACAAGAGGCTTGGAGATAGGCAGGGACGGGCCCAATCCTGGGAGTCCTCCCAATCCTTGAAGCCCTCCCAGTCTTTGAAGTCCTCCCCATCCTTGAAGTCCTCCCAGTCTCTGAAGCCCCCCCAATCCGTGAAGTCCCCCTAGTCCTTGAAATCCTGGCAGTCCTTGAAGTCCTGGCAATCCTTGAAGTCCTGGCAATCCTTGAAGTCCTGGCAATCCTTGAAATCCTGGCAATCCTTGAAGCCCTCCCAGTCGGGCCCCTCTGAGACCCGGAGTTGACAATTGCGGTGTCAGTCCCCGACCCCTGGCCAAAGGTGGAGTCGCCTGATGGGGAATCATTGGACTCAGAAACGAGGTGCCCAGAGCATTTTGGATCTGTTGCTGTTGCTGCTGGATGAACTGCAAATAGTCCGCTATCTGTTTCTGCACCGAGTGCAGAAGTTGCTGCTCCTGGGCCGGGTTTACTTGATGTTGTTGCTGCCGTTGCTGACCTTTTGTCGAAGGCTGGCTCTGACGACTCTGAAGCAGTCTTCGACCGAAGAGAGGTTGACGTTGAGACTGACTTGAAGCGCCGTAACCAGGTTGCACTATGATGTCTGCATTGGCAGCCAGAAATGTTGCTAGAATTGTTGCTAGGACCTGAAATTAGTCGTTCTTCTGGTACCAGATGATTTATAGGAGTTCTGTTTATCGCATTTGTTATGGGTAAAATGGGAAAGGCATTGTAAATGATGCAGCTGCGATTTTGTCACCCATTGCTTATAATATTTGGTCATTAAGGTCGATTAAGACGTGTCCGTGCATTGATAGAAATAATTTCCCGCGCACAAAAAAAAATCATACATTTTTTTTATTCCACAAAATCGGTTGATTGAAACATATGAAATTGTCATTCTATATATCAGAACGTCAAAATATTAATAAAACTTTCCTCCAAACTGGGTGCACTGAATCATTTGAAACGTTAGCACGTGATTATGTAGGCCCTAAGGAAGAACGCGATGCTCGTGAAATTTCATTTTTAAAAGAAAATTTTGTTGGCCTAGACTAGAACCAAGATTACATTTTTTTGTTGTGAGAAATTAAATTTCACGAGCATTACGTTTTTCCGTGGGGCCTCTATAATCATGTGTTCAAGTTTCAAATTATTCGGTGTACCCAATTTGTAGAAGTTTTATAAATATTCTGACGTTATATATATATAATTTTATATATAACGTTATATATTATATATAGAATTACCCTTTCATATCACCGGACGATTATCGTTTGTTACTAATATATATTTATATACAAAATGAAAGGCAATCGGTTTTCAATGAAGGAAATGGTTTTTCCTGATTTCCGAATGAATAACCTCTCGATTTTAGTGATTCATAACTATTTCCAATGATTTCTGCTTGGGATTTCCACGTGATTCCGGGCTTTGAAACGATTTCCCTCGCGATGCCCTCTGCAGCACTTTGCCCGTAACATCTACAAGAAGATGGCTCACCAGCTCCCGAAAGGAAATCCCCATGGCTTCTAAATAAACCACTCGGAGGTTCGGCGAAAACTGGACTGGAATGACTATTCGAGGCTCGTTTCGGTTTCTGCTGATCGGTCATTCCGCCGAGGTATTCCATAAGTGCAAGTCGTCGCAAAATTGGGAAACGGGCGTCGCCGTCGTCCGACCTGGTAGAGGACGATTTCGCTCGATTTGCAGACCGTTGGATTTCGTCCGAAGCCAGGTCGAGCCGCTTTGCGATTCTCCCCGACACGAGGGGACCCCAGAATCGTGTCGATTCGGTATTCGATGCATTAGGGTCTTCCAGCTGCCATTACTAACACCATTATCAGACGGAACGTGGCGCAGAGTCAGCGAGCAAAAGCCGGACAAGGAGCAACGACCTCCACGTGGGTCGCGTTTCTTGCATTCCGCTTTGAAGAGAGTTTCGCCATAATTCGCAGGCCGGTCGGAAAACGCAGGAATTTCGGCCGTGGAAAATTCCGGACGAAGGGTCGATCGAGGTTTCATTTCTGGCTGGTGGACCCGAACAGGGTGGAGATCTTGAAGAAGGAAGGTAATGGGTGATCTCTCCGCAGGTGGAAGTTCATCGATTCACCTTTACAGAAGCAAAAGTGTAGGGGATAAAGAACGTTACAAAGGTTTCTAAGGTTAAGAGAATACGCGTACCCTATTTACTTGTCTTGTTTCAATGAAAATGTTAACGTTATCTTGAAGATAACGTCATCCAGTGTGAACTCAAAGTGCCCTTCTGAGCAGTTATTAGATTTTTATATTCTAATCGTTAGGAACTTCACTTTTACAGAAGCGGAAGTATAGGGGATAAAGAACGTTAAAAGGGTTCCTAAGGTTAAGAGAATACGCGTACCCTATTTACTTGTCTTGTTTCAATGAAAATGTTAACGTTATCTTGAAGATAACGTGATCCAGCGTAAACTCAAAGTGCCCTTCTGAACGATTTTTAGATTTTTATGTCCTAATCGTTAGGAACTTTAGGCTACTTCAATTATTTATGTTAAAGCGATGAGAAAGTGGCATCTGAGAGATCAATTGTTTATAAAACTTCTATATGAACCAAGTGTACCGAGTCCTTTGAAATTTTACCGCGTGAATATGTAGTTCCTAATGGAGGCCCTGGCACCCGTAAAACTTAATTTTTCATAAAAACATTGAGAAAATATTTATAAACAATATTGAAAAATGAAAGTTTTATGAGTACTCGACCTTTCTATAGTTCCGCCATATTGACTTGGTAAGATGCAGACGATTCGATACCTCCAGTTCAGAAATACGTATCATAAACGAGACTCCTCAAAACGCCACATATACAATAAAAAGCACATAAATTAATCTCCCCAAAAACTAATTACCTTTAAAATAAAAACGTTTCTTATCTCTCCAGACAGTTCACACATTTCATCGCTTAACGTGTCGTTTACGCAAAGCAATCATGATTATTTAACATACAGAGATTGACATTTATATCCGCCGTACGGCGTTAAAACAAGCTCCTGCGGTCGCCCCGGTTTAAAATATTCAGAGATAGAGGCAGAGAAAAAAAGGCAAAAAAGAAAACCTTCAAATTAGCATCGAAAGTTCCGCATTTGCGGAGATTTACGACAAGCTAATCTCGAAGCGATCTCTTCAGGGTGTTCTTCGTGTTGCAGGTTGCGTATTCGGTACGTGATGCCGGCGGCGCACCTGACGTTGCGGGAGGAGGACGTGGTGCGTCTGACCCTGGAGTTCCTGCACGGCCGGGACCTGCACATCTCGCAGCTCTCGCTAGAACGGGAAACCGGGGTAATAAATGGGCAGTACAGCGACGACGTCCTGTTCCTACGCCAGCTGATCCTGGACGGTCAGTGGGACGACGTCCTGGAGTTCATCCAGCCGCTGGAGGCGCTGCCGGACTTCGACATGAGGCGGTTCGCCTACTCGATTTTGCGGCATAAATACGTAGAATTGCTGTGCATCAAGTCGGAGGCGAACGTGATGATGGGTACCAACGGGAACAACGTGGACAACGCGGTGGAGGAGGTGGTGAAGGTGCTGGGCGAGCTGGAGAAGGTGGCGCCCTCGAAGGAGGAGTACAGTGGCCTCTGCCTGCTGCTCACCTTGCCGAGGTTGACGGACCACCTGCAGTACAAGGACTGGAACCCCAGCAACGCCAGGGTGCAGTGCTTCCGAGAGGTCCATCCTCTGGTGGAGAGATTCCTCCCGGGGGACCGGAAGTCCACCGACCCGGCTCACCCCATCTCCTGCGCGAAGAACGACCGACTGGTCCAGCTCATCATCAAGGGCATCCTCTACGAGTCCTGCGTCAACTATTGCCAGGCCAAGGCCACCGGCTCGAAGGAGAGCGAGCAGGTGGAGATGAGCTTCTCCAGGCTCCTGGACGGATCCGTGGGGTTCAGCGATTCGGACCTGAGTCTCCTATCCTGGCTGCAGAGCATCCCTCCGGAGACCTTCGCCGTTCCCTTTGCACAGAGGACGCTCAACGTCGACATGGAGAGGCTGGAGAGGCCCTCGCTCGAGACCTCCTGGACGGAGCACATGCTGATCACCCCGATCAAGCCCAAGACCTTCCCACACAGCGCCATGCCCTTCACCAGGCCCAGGTCGGCTGCCGACATGATGTCCAGGAGTCTGGTCCCTGCTCTGGAAGCTGGACTCGGCCCCAGGAGCCCTGGACCGAAAAACATCCCCATGCCATCCGCTGCTCTCATGGCTCTCTCCACTGGAGACATCAACCCCATGTCCAGGTCCTCTTTTGCTAGTTTCCATCTGACCGGGTTCAAGAACAACAAACTGATGAACACCAGCGTCGACCGCCTCTTCGAGAACGAGGGCGACGTCTTCCTCAGCTCCAGCTATGCCGAGTTCCAGCAGCTCCCGAGTATCCAGGAGACTACTGCCGCGCAGCCGAAGATTCCCCCCAGGGCTAGGGGACAGTCGAGGAGTCCTGAAGGTTCGTAGGGTTGCTCTTCTCCCTTTATTCGCTCTTAACCCGGGTCTTGTGAGGATGGGAAATTCAGGATGAGGGAGGAAATCACCCCTTTTGGGATAGTACCCTGGGTATGAAAAAAGTCCCGGTTGATATAAACATTAACCAGGTAGCCGTTGACCTTATTCACCCTGCTTCGAGTAACTATGAGATGTCCCTGTTGCAGCCGTCAAGGCCGACCCCTCGACAGCGTCGACCCCGGAGCGCAGGGTGGGTGGAAGGGAATCCCCAGCTCCCTCTACGGCAAGGAGTTCCAGAAGAGATTCCCTAGCTGACAAACCCACGGGGGTGGCCGCCAAGATCACCGAACCTGCACCCTTGACGAGACCCGCCACCGCAGCCGGGGAACCCCGACTCGAGCATAGCTACAACGGCGACCTCTTCAAGGAGTACCAGAAGCAAAAGCAGAGGCTGCAGGAGACGATCCAGCAGAAGGAGAGAGAAAGGGACGAGCTGGTTAGACAGCTGGCCGCCCCGCCTGCAGGCCAGGGCGCGGACAACAGACTTCAGGGTGACGGGTAAGTGCGCTCGGTAATTTCGTCTTCTTTTCTCCTCCTTGAAGACCGCTTTGCACCTCGACATTTAGTCCTTGACTGACTACTGCTATCCACGAGGAGTCTGAAGAAAATCTATGAGAGATGGAGATAATGGGTTTCCCCTGAGCGGAAAAATCATCAACGGGGAATTCTTGTGACAATAACCTTTTTACTTGGTTACGAACGACGAAGTACATCGAGTTGATGGAATGAAATTAACGTAGATTTGATTCGATGTTCAATTATATTAAACTGAACATTTATTATTCGTTGTCAATTGATTTTGTGCATGTAAATGTGGAATGAACTGTTGTGACGCTTGAAAAAAATGATAACACTTTCATTGCCGCAGGTACTTGATTTCCCCCAGAAAGTATATTTTTCGCTCAGGATGTCGCTTAAATGCATGTACGCTGGAGTAAGAGAAACACAGCAATTATTCCGGAGACTAATAGCAATCTTGAAACAAATAGCAACGATGGGTAGATTTAGATTAGGCTTACATTATATCAGTTGGTTTTTGATAGCCAGTATAGTACTACATGTCAATGGTTTCGTCTCTCTCGGTCGATAAATGGGATCCCTTTAAAAAGCGTCAAACTAGACGTTCGTCGTTACACCTTACGGCAGCAACAATGAGAGAACTATTTTTTTTTAAATTAGGTTTAAATGTTATCAGCAGTTTTTGATAGTCCAGAGTTACATGTCGATAACTTTTACGTCTGTCTCGGTCGGTACGTGGTACCACTTAGAACATCGTCGAAGTGTTCCTTCGTCGTTACGACGCCCGATGGCAGCACCGGTCCGCCTACGTTCGCCTCGCCACTCTTCAGGGTCTCAGCCCCAATACCGACCGAGTTCTGCCTTTTAATCTCTTTCCGCCTAATGAATGAGAGCAGATGTAGGTCGATTTCATCAATCGGGACCCATCGGTACCAGGGTTCCCATAGAAGAATGCCGCATCGAAGATCCCTCAGGAATGCCTCGCCGAGACCAGACGCGACTAGCCGAGATGGAAATAGCAGTCCCTCAAGAGGGCGCTGACAAAAAGGCCACTCTTCAGGGTCCCACTCCACCGGGCAGCATTGCGTTCCCCGGTAACGCGATTCCTTGAAAGGTTTATTCATAAATCGGCCCGAGGAGCGTTCGTTGCCCCTGGGGAAGAGAAAGCACATCCGGAGCGGCCGCCATAGGTCTCTTCAGGCTCTATTGAGTCGATCCTGTCCAATTGATCGGCAATTAGGAGAGACGTGTGGCGCCGATGGACGCAATTGGTCACTTTGCCGATCGCTGATCGGTTCGTTGACACGATCGACCGTGTACATTGACGTCGTGACCGGATGCAGGAAGCTTCGGCCCTCCTCTTCAGGGCCTCCCGCGCCCCGGGAATAAATGCGCGATCGGTGATTCACGCTCGTGGCTCGTTATCCATCCGTGGAATCGACGCCATTGTTTGCGAAGGCATACTTGGGGGGCCCGGCATTGTCGAAACGAATGTGACCCCTGACGAATGCGCCGTCCAACGGTGCCTAAAACCTACCCAGAAGGTGTCCACGAGATGACCGTAACGCCCGCTCGGCGATGCCAACGACGCGCGGTTCCTCTCCGAGAAGTCGACGCCCCGGAGACCCGAAGAGGTCGTCCTTCGGATGGCCCGTGAAGACCCCGAGAATCCAGGGGCGGGACCAACTAATTGCGGGAGGTCTCGCCGAGAGGAGTTATTTCTGTCGAGACACTCGCAGCATCTCGCGCTCCTTCTTCCGGGCGTTCTCTTCGCGCTCTTCAACGTCAAGATCTGTATAGGGACCCCCCTGTGGAGGAACCAAGAGAGGTCGTGGAGGGTCTTAAAATTCCATATGAAAAATTCCGGAAAATTCGGGAAACATTCTTCACATTCCCTAGAGATGTGTAAATGGGGTTCATGGAAGAGACGCGTTTAACGTCAAGATCTGTATAGGGACCCCCCTGTGGAGGAACCAAGAGAGGTCATGGAGGGTCTTAAAATTCGATATGAAAAATTCCGGAAAATTCGGGAAACATTCCTGACACTCCCTAGAGATGTGTAAATGGGGTTCATGGAAGAAACGCGTTTACATCCGCATTTTCTACGTTCAAAGTCCCGAGGGGAATTACTTATCGCTACCCTTACAGCATCTCTCACTCCTTCCGGACGTTTATTCAACGCTCTTCAAGATCGCGTTCTCCGGAGCCGACCAAGAGGAGTCGTTATGGAGGGTCTTAAAATTTGAAATGAAAAATTCCGGAAAATTCGGGAAACATTCCTGACACTCCCTAGAGATCTGTAAATGGGGTTCATGAAAGAGACGCGTTTACATCCGCATTTTCTACGTTCAAAATTCCGAGAGGAATTACTTATCGCTACCCTTACAGCATATCTCATTCCTTCCGGACGTTCATTCAACGCTCTTCAAGGTCGCGTTCTCCATGGGCTCCCCTGGTTCTCATGGAGGATTTAAAAATTATACAAAAATTCAAGAAACTTCCTAGACGCCTGTAAATGGAGTTCCTGCGAAAGAACGCGTTTTTGGAAGGATGTACCTGTGATTTTCAACGTCGAAAGTGATGAGAGGAATTATTTATCACGACCCTCGCAGCAGCTCTTGAAGAACGCTCTTCAAGATCGCATTCTCTGTGGCCGACCAAGAGGAGTCGTTATGGAGGGTCTTGAAATTTGAAATGAAAAATTCCGGAAAATTCGGGAAACATTCCTGACACTCCCTAGAGATCTGTAAATGGGGTTCATGGAAGAGACGCGTTTACATCCGCATTTTCTACGTTCAAAGTCCCGAGAGGAATTACTTATCGCTACCCTTACAGCATCTCTCACTCCTTCCGGACGTTTATTCAACGCTCTTCAAAATCGCGTTCTCCATGGGCTCTCCTGGTTCTCATGGAGGATTTAAAAATTATATAAAAATTCAAGAAACCCCCTAGACGCCTGTAAATAGAGTTCCTATGAAAGAACAGGTTTTTGGAAAGATGTACCCGTGATTTTCGACGTCGAAAATGATGAGAGGAATTATTTATTGCGACCCTCGCAGCAGCTCTTGCTCCATCTTCCGAGCGCTTATACGACGCTCTTCAAGATCGCGTTCTCAATGGGCTCCCATGGTTCTCATGGAGGATTTAAAAATTATATAAAAATTCAAGAAACTCCCTAGAAGCCTATGAATGGAGTTCCTACGAAGGATCGCGTCTGTGGGGTGGCATATTCGCGATTTTCGACGGCGAAAGTCCCCGGTACCAAGATGGCCGCCGCGAGAGGTTGACGGCCCTGGCCCCGCGATTTTCCGCGGATCCGCCTCGTTAGATCGCGTTCTACCATCTCAACTCGGAGAAATGAGCTTTTAATAAAGCCGCCGCTTGTGCTCGGCCGCGTTTAACCGATGGAAAGCGGTCCTAGTTAACGAGGAGAAACAGAGATTTATTGCCCTCGCAGATAGACGCGCTCTGTTTTCGCGCGCGCCCCTCGAAAGGGGGAGGAATCCGTTCTCCAGGAAACGCGTCGACCGCTTGCGGAATTGTTCTAGTCGAAACGCGGCCGAGTACGTGGCTCCTGGAAGGGACCGTTCTTGCGAAAGACCATCCCGGTATTTATTGTAAAAAGGGGACCAGAGGGGCATTTTTCGTCGGGGCGGCTGAAGCAACGCCTTCCAATGGCCGGCCCGCTTTATGGGATTTTTCTTACCGGGCGCATATTTGCCCACTTTTATGGGGACTCCAGGGGGCCTGGCCGATTGCGTGACTCTCGTATGTGTATAAGGAGATCGATTACTTGCGGCCCAAACTGAGAAAAACGCGGATACCAGGGGCATTAGAAAGGAGACGAGGATGGAGTTAATGGCGGACGAGGGAACGCGCGGTTTAGAGGATATTCCCAGGATTTGATACCTCGGGGGATACAGAGAGTCCTTCCTGGGAATCGATTTTTTCCTTCGATTCTTTGTAAGAAGTGCCCACTCGATCGGACTTACGTGGGGAGATTTAAGGAAGAGGAAATGCTCCCGGGGAGAAAAGACGCGTTTGGAGGTCTAATTGGACCCTACGTAATGGGAGAGCATAATTTTCCCCGGTTTTTCCGCGCGACAGGTGGCGTGCTTGTAAGTCCCGCAAAAACCGCGGTAATTATTGAAAATTGCGACACGCTTCGAGTTGCCAAGGATAGGGATACTTGGACCCCCAGGGCAGGTGAAAGGATCTTCCCGTAACGCTTAGTTTAATGCGCGGAAGAAACTTTTCCGGCTTTTTCTCATTTTCCTGGGATAATATGTGTCGCTTATCGAGGGACTACAGACGGGTGAAAGGATCTTCTCGTAAAGCCTCGTTTGATATGAGAAAGGAACTCTTTGTTTTTCTCATTTTTATTAATGATAATGTGTATCGCTTATCAAGAAATCCAGGATAGGTGAAAGGATCTTCCCGCGTAGTTTTATATACAAAGGGAACTTTCCGTTTTTATTTATTTCCTCTAATAATACGTATCGCTTATCAATGGGAGCAGGACGGGTGAAACGATCTTTGCGTAATACTCGGATTGTATTGGAAAGAATTTCTCTAATGTTTTTCTCATTTTTATTATAATAATATGTATCGCTTATCAAGAAATCCAGGACAGGTGAAAGGATCTTCCCGCTTAGTTTAATATACAAAAGGAACTTTTCGTTTTTATTTATTTCCTCTGATAATACATGTCGCTTATCAATGGGAGCAGAACGAGTGAAAAATCTTCGCGTAATACTCGGATTGTATTGGAAAGAATTTCTCATTTTTATTATGATAATATGTTCGCTTATCAAAAAATCCAGGATAGGTGAAAGGATCTTCCCGCTTAGTTTAATATACAAAAGGAACTTTTCGTTTTTATTTATTTCCTCTGATAATACATGTCGCTTATCAATGGGAGCAGAACGAGTGAAACGATCTTTGCGTAATACTCGGATAGTATTCCAAATAATTTCTCT